GTGTGTGTGTGTGTGTGTGTGTGTGTGTGTGTGTGTGTGTGTGTGTGAGAAGAGCACTGAGTGTTTGTCCGTTCAAAGAGGTGATCTCAGCGCGTCGTCATCACTGCAGGTTATTTTCTGTCGTGGGGTTTCGTCCTTCCTCCACAGCAGTTTCCATTCTAAATTTGGTTCGGATCTACCACGACCCAGCAGCACGCCACCTCACACACACAGGCACACGCTCTCATGACGTGGAGCTTCCCACGGCTGTGAGCTCAGACAGCAGGAATCTGGGCTCTGGTTTCTTGCTCCTGTCCAGGTGTTACAGCAGCTTTAAATGACGTAGAAACACTGACCTCAGGACAGCTGCTGGAGCCCCACTCATAGTTTAAATACAGACAACATGCTCTTTGGATCGTTGTGTTGTTGTTAAGCTGTTTAGGGCTTCAACCAGTGATTATAATCATTATTTTGATTAAACAATTCATTATTAAATGACAGAAAATACCCCCAGGCCGTCCCACACAGCGTCCCTCTCCTCTGGGTGACATGAGCGTCTAAATCAGGCCTCTGAGAGGAGCTTCCTGTTCTCCCCTCATGGCAGCGAGAGACATTCTTTCTTGCAGCTCTGTCGACCCACTTCTCTGTGAAGGAACACGCTGCTCACCTGAGGGCTGATGATGGCGTTTGGTGCAGGTGAAAACATGCCCAGAGGTGATGAGCTGTCTCGGTATTATCAGTGGGAGGGGAGGGGGGGTGTTTCTGCAGAGGCGGATTCGTTTTGACCCAGTTTTGGTTGTGAACACCTTGTTTCCTTCTTGTAGTGAAGTCTGGAACTAAAATAAACATTTTGAGCGACCTACGCAGGCTTTAACAACACTTTTCACATCATAAAACTCATTAAAAGTTATTCATGATCCGCTTCATACTGCACAAGTGTGAGGCCGACAAACTACAGATGAATTCAACAGTTAACTCACCATGAAACTCCCCCAGTTGATCACTTACATTAATTATGTGCTGCTTTAAAAAGGTTCCCAGAACATAAACGTGAACATCGGATAAAACCAGGTTCAACATTCTTGTTTCATGTTGACTTCTTCGATTTGAAGGTTTTTGCAGAAGGAGAATCAGGATGTCTCTTTGTGTCACTCCATAAATCAGAAAATACTGTCAACACACCTACAAAAATCCATTTCTCCATGTTTTTATTAATAAAATGTCGTATAAATCAGGCCTTTAAAACGTATCAGTGGATACCTTTAGTGTCTCTTAGCGCTGAGGAAAGATTTCAACACACACAGTGACATCTGGTGGTTCATAGAACTCGCAGCAGACGGCGGACGAAGCACAACATTCACTCTCCTGACAACAAGAAGAAGAAGCCTTATTCAGTACTGTGATGTATACATCCTGCACTGTGTTATTGTGCAATGTACTGCAGTGAAATGATTAGTACATGCATTGTTTATTAAGCCTATGTATAGAATACTTAATGTTTACTGTCCACTGTGGGTGATTTATTGATATTCATTCACATATTTTACTTAATAGATGAAATGTTCTCATTCTTCTCAATGATGTTTGTATCATCAGAGCTCAACGTTCAGCTAAATAACTGAAGCACCGTTTTAATAATAGAGTTCATTCTGTAAACATGTTGATTTAAAGAGTTCTTCTGCTACACGAACACGTCGCTGCTCTTATTTACCTGAAATGTGTCGTCTATATCAAACACTCGTGTCTTTGAGAGTCCAGCGTGGATTTTATTTATCCGTCTACTTTTGTTTTGAAACTTTAACGTGAATCTGTTTCCTGTTTGTTTTTTCCAGCCGGAGCGAATAGACCCGAGCGCGTCCCGGCAGGGCTACGACGTCCGCTCAGACGTTTGGAGTTTGGGAATCACGCTGGTGAGTCTGAACACTGAACACTCGCATATTCATAGGAGTTATACTAACGTCGTCATTTAACCGTCCTCATTGTTCAGGATTCACATTTGTGTTTAAAGTACATGATGTTTGTACCCATCATGTATACTTTGATGAATACACATCATTTATTAAATAGCACCTCTGCTTTTTCTCCTGGAAGTTTAATGTTTTCGTATATTGTTTATGATATTAGTGGAGGTGATCGTTATTTACTTTACTATAAAACACTCTTGAAGGAGATCAGGAGCTCCAGTGATTGTTTTCGATTTAATTGAAGAAGGACCGAAGGAGCTGATTGCCTGCCGACCTTCTGCACATTGTTAGAGTGATTGTTTTTTTATTGCTCATTATGGGATGCCAGGTCTGCTTACAAATAGGTGACACATTTTGAAACATGAAACTCGTTTAATTTTCTCACCCTCCTGCAGGATGCTGCATCATTCTGGTAGTTTACAGCTCAATAACATCTGATTTAATGTGACGAAGAAGTGAAATAATCAGTGAACCGTATATACAGTATGTACTGTGTATAAACAGGTTGTTTACCACCACTGTGAGGTGCTGGAAAAGCTTGAAAATGCACTTTGAAAAGAGCTTGAATTTGATTTTGGAGAGGGTGCTGGAGTCCTTCTGATGTCCCTTCACACCTGGTGTGTGGTGTTTGAGCAGCGGTGTACCTGATCCCGTTGTCCCGTGTCTTCCAGTACGAGCTGGCCACTGGGAGGTTCCCCTACCCGAAGTGGAACAGTGTGTTCGACCAGCTGACCCAGGTGGTGAGGGGAGACCCGCCGCAGCTCAGCAACTCGGAGGAGAGGCGCTTCTCTCCCAAATTCATCTCCTTTGTCAACGTGTGGTGAGGAAATTAATCAGCAATACTTCCCTGAAAAAAATATTGAAATGATGTTCTTACGTCAGGAAATCAAAAACCTGTTTCCAGTTGGTTCCTTGAGAGCAGATTCCAGCTGGACTCCAGACTCCAGCCACCTGGTGGACAGATGGCTGAACTGCAGCTTCCTCCTCCTAACACTTGTTTTATTTTTCATCCTCTCTGCAGCCTTACAAAGGACGAGTCAAAAAGGCCAAAGTACAAAGAGCTACTGGTAAATATCCGCTTAAGATGTTTACAACCGAGTTAATGGACGACTTTGGTCCTTTTCAACCCTATTTTCCTCGTGTTTTTGTATCCAAGTCTTTTGAAACACGTCCATTATTAAAGGAATTAACTCCTCGCTGTATACGTACGTCCACTGATGGGCTCAGGTTGTTACTAGACAAGTGTCTGAAAGAATTATGGAAAGAACCCTGAAGAGAAATAAGATGTTCTTTTATACAACAGTGGAAACTTAAGTGAGAGGAGTGACGGTGTTATTTAAAAGAGTTTCAATATAATGGGGGAATATTTAGACTTCTCCTTGTGCGAGACTCCGTTAGACTCGATGACAAACAGACTGGATCAAACGTAAGGTAAAGAAAAATCAATCTGAGTCTGTCAGCATAAAAAAAAAAACAGCACGTTTATCATCCGTACATTGACGGTGAGGATTGATTACATTGCAGCACGTTGAGCAGCTGCAGCGTTTTTCGCTCGATGCTGAAGCAATTAAATAAAGTGTTCGTCACTTAGACACAGAAACATGAGGAAACGCCCTTTAGATCCAGTCACAAGAGCTCTTATTTTTGTCTTGCATTGTTCTTTTTTGTTTGTATCGTAACTCGACTTTTTCCTCTTTGTCCTCTTCCAGAAAGATCCGTTCATCCAGATGTACGAGGAGCGCTCGGTGGACGTGGCGAGCTACGTGTGCCGGCTCATGGATCAGATGCCGACGTCTCCCAGCTCCCCGATGTACATGGACTGATGGCAACGCACCAATAAATATATTCACCAAGTCTGCAACAGTAAAACACACTTAAACAAAAGAAAAAGAAGACAAAGACGAGAAAGTGAACAAAACTAAATCCTTGTGTACATTTGCTTGGTCCCCTTATTGCAGTGTTAAAAAGAGAATTGTAAAAAAACAAACACTAAAAGAACTCACCATTTGCAATAACAGTAGTGTTCATTTCACTCATGTCTGTATAATATATCAACACTTCTGTTTCTCTCTTGTTCACACACATACTCTCTCTCTCTCTCTCTCTCACTCTCTCTCTCTCTCTCTCTCTCTCACACACACACACACACACGTGTAAGTATAGTAGCAGCGGAATCAATCATATGGTCTTGACTCATCTTAATGAGGACACACCTCTGTGGTTAGTACAGTGATTTAAAAAATAAAATGAATAATAATAATGTCAAACTTGTATTTATGGAACCAAAAAAAAACAAATCACTTCAACATACTGGAATCATGCTCTTTGTGAATTGTCCCACCTCTTCCATGTGCGTAACTGAAAGCATCGTGTTTGGTATCTTAATGGAACTTTGCTTCTCTGGGTATAAAGCAGTTTAAAAAGTGTCGGTGGTCCGAATCATGTTAGACCTGCAGTCCAGTCCTCGCTGTACAGTGGACTATATGCTGATGTATGAATAAAGGAGGAGAAAGGACACGTGTGTGTCTGTGTTCTTTGGATGGGTTGAACTTAAAGGGTCAGTGTGGAGGATTCAGGAGATCTATTAGCATAGAGGGAATATAATAAGTATGTTTCATAAGATCAGAATCAGTGTTTTTGTTAGTTTAGAATGAGCTCTTCATATCTACGTAGGGATTCTACAGAGCAGTAGAACGTTTTGGGATTCAGGAGGAACTTGTTAGTGTTTATATGTTTGGGGTCTTAGACCAAAAGAATAACATGTATGAATGTTGAAATTTGGCGTTGTTTCCCTTTAAATATATTTTAAATCTAAAAGTTATAGTTGAAACCTTAATGTGATGGCTTCAAATGGAAAATACTGTACGGCAGTTGAAAGTTTCTACTCAATTCAGTTCTTTATTGGTATAAAAAGTAAAAAAAAAACAATGTTAAGGCTTCAAATTACACAATATGAATATTAACACAAAATGTATATATATATACATATATTATATATATATATATATGTAATATTTATCAGCTAATTTGGTATACAGCAACCTGCACCAGTAACTTACTGGAGCTATCCCCGCCTCCTTCTCTTGAAACGCCGCTGTGATTGGTCCACAGACCTGGATAATAACTACACCGACCAATGAGCGTCAAGATTCCGGAACGTCATCATTAGATGCCGGAAAAAGTGTCACATGTGTGAACCAGCCTCTAAAGTCCTGCTGAATGTGCAACCAGCTACCTTATTCTTCATTTAAAAAGCGTGGAAATGTACAAACGAGTGTTAACTGACTAATCGGCGCTGGTTGTTTGAATCATTGCAGTGTATTTATTATGAATACGGTCCGTTTGAAGCTCAGGTCCTTCACGCTCCTGTTTATTAAAGGCAGAGCTCTCTCTGCTGGTCCTCCGGCTGTCGCAAGCTGTCATCTCCCTCTCCAACGGACTGTTTTCCAGTTGTTCCAAACAATGGCTACCAATGACAACAACCCCCCGGAGACGAGACAGCCGTTGGGTATGAAGAAGGCCAACCACAAGGAGCCGCTGCGGCGGGTGAAGACCAAAGAGAACCGGGTAAAGCGAGGGGACGTTCACGGACCGTCCACGGTGTACGTGCAGGTGGTCGGTGCTGGAAGCAGAGACAATGCGGCGTCGCTCTACGTCTTCTCCGAGTACAACAGGTAACTTATACACAAAGGAGTCTTCAGTAGGCCATGCTTTTACTTTGAAACATGGGCTGTGTAAAGCCTCCTAAAGTCACATGTGACAAAAATAAACGAGCTACAAAGTGTTGCAGGTTAAATAAAGTGCTGACTAACTCTCCTCTGCTGCAGATATCTGTTCAACTGTGGTGAAGGAACACAGAGACTCATGCAGGAGCACAAGTGAGCTGGTTTAATGTGTTAAATACATATGTTTTGTTTTAAATCGTCTTATTCTGATGGACGGAGACGGAGAGCATTAACGTCATTAACGTCTTCATGTTTTCATCCGACAGACTGAAAGCTGCTCGACTGGACAACATCCTCCTGACCAGACTGAGCTGGGACAATGTGGGAGGTTTATCCGGTCAGTAACATCCGAATAACAATAAAGTAACAACATTACAACTTTAATATTCAAATCCAAATGTGTTTGTAAAGCAACACATCATAGCTACAAAAGCAGTTAATCAGAATCAGAACCGTTTATTGCCATGGTACAAGGAATTTGACATGACGGGAGGTGCTTAACATTCAACAACAACACAGTGCAAAGTAGAAACATATTACAATGTACAGGAGTATATAAAATATAAAATAAAGTGCACAAACAGTGTTAAGAGTGTTTTACATAAAAACAGAAACATAGCAGCAAATAAACAGACATCCATCCAGACGTACATACAAACAAGCAAACTGTACAAATACGATGTGCTTATTAAAGAAATCGTTATAAACTCAGTTTTTTATGAGATTTACTGAGGAGTCGGACCAGCCAGTGTTTGGTAAAACAAAGAGGAGTTTGAATTTTATTCTGAAAGCAACAGGAAACCAATGAAGGTTATAGAAGACTGGAGTTAAATGTTCTGTGTATATATTTTATTTATTTTAAGTTTACGTTTTAAAGAACACTTCCATCATTTAGACATTTTTATTACATAAAACATGAGCAGATTCATATTATAAGAAAGCAAACACAGAAATGTTAACGAACACACTTTTTAATCTCAAAGTGTAGCGGTTAGCTTTACACACAGAAGATGAGTGTGATCAATAGAATCAATGAATATCTGAGATTTATTCTTCTTCTGCAGGGATGATATTAACCCTGAAGGACACCGGTGTTCCAGAGTGTGTCCTCTCTGGACCTCCACAGCTGGTGAGAAACCCGACCTACACTGTACCGTACATATTCAATACTGTCTTTACATATTCAATACTGTATTATTCAAT